CAATTTTAATGTTAGAGTACATATCGTTTCCTTTTAAGAGGGAAGCGGAAGTTAGCCTCACTGGAGTTGTGTCTGTAGATTTGTAAAAATAAGCCCTCGATCCACTGACATGCGACCCCAATTACAAAAGATTTGTAAGGACTTTCGGGGTTGATGAGCGGTAGGCCAAACACTTATTTGAATAAATATACAGTTAGTCCCCCTTCAGCTTACGTTAAAGTCGAATCCCTTCCACTCAACTAAAGAAAACGAAATGAAAAGCACTTTAATACTGTTCTATAAATGGATTCTTCAAAACCGAGTTTTTTTACATACTGATGATATTTAAGTTGATATAGCATATATATAAGAGATTTTTGTGCTCAAAGAAATTTGGCTTAAGTATAATATGAGATGTATTCACCCTATTTCGTCTAAGGTGATGAAGGACTGGTAGTAGAATTTTCCCACAATGATATAAGTTGAGCAGTCTAGAGAGTTTCTGACTTAAAATACTCTTGTCACTTTGATAAGTTGTAACTCTGTGCTTACGATGACGCTTCTCACTGACGATGCCGGCGAAATGTTTGGAAATGTATTCAGCCAATGGTCCAATGCTGGAAATCACAAATACTATGGAAAGGACATGAGACTAGATACGTTTTATAAGGTATACCTAAAGTTCCGACCAAGTTGCGAAAACAAAGTTGAACCAACACTAGAAAGCTAAAGGATACTGCGACCAAACAGAAGGCCATACCATCTTGGACTTCATATCTAGATAAGAAATAATTTATAAGGTATATCACCCTTTTTTGTTAAGTTAAGGAAGAACAGGTTGTTTATTTTCCCACAATTTTTACAAGGCCATGCTTACCAAAAGATACTCTAATCCAGAGTGAACTGCAGTTGCAACCTCGCTTAGAGCTCATCTGCATTCTCACAAGGACTCGAACCGTGATAGTGCAGCATATAATCCCGATCCATTAACCACTTATTCACTAACATTAATGCTAATTTATAATAAAGCAGATGTGTAGTTTAAGGAAGGCCAGGCATATTTCAACATTACATACTGTGTTGGGAATGTCGACTAAGCAAAGTTGTATTTGCTATAACAATCGACTCAATTATTTATCGAAGTAGGTTGACATCAGTTTCGCAATTTTGTCTTGATGCCAGGGAGGTTTATTTGAACGCACCTTGTCTGAAGTCGTCCGTCATAGTAGTTACCATAATTCCCAGCATCAGACTGTCGAATTGGCACACTCTGATGCTGGGAATTATGGTAACTACTATGGCAGATGAGTTCGGACAAGGTGTGTTCAATTAAGCCACCC